AGTATTGGTTAAAATGAGAGAGCATTAAATGATTACAATAAAGCAATCTTGCTTGATCCAAAATGCACAAAAGCTTACTTCATCAGAGGTACTTTAACTTAATATATGTTAGGTAATTTATCAAAGAATATTGTGAAGAAAGAATAACCAATTAATGACCTTAATCAAGAAATTCAACTTGATTAAAAAGATGCTAATGCTTTCACTAATAGAGGTAAATAATATAACAATTAATATCTTAGGATATTTATATCAAGTTATTGGTGAGAATGAAAAAGCATTATCTGATTATAATAAAGCAATTCAACTTGATCCAAAATGTGCAAAAGCCTATTGTAATAGAGGTGAATATTGTTACACATAAATATTAGGCTATTTATATCAAGTTATTGGTCAAAATGAGAAAGCCTTGTATAATTATAATGAAGCAATCCAAATTGATCCAAAAGATCCAACAGTATATATGTATAGAGGTGAATATTATTACACATTTTATATTAGGCGTATTATATAATAAAATTGGTTAGAAGGAAAAACTGCTATCCGATTATTTACAAGGATTAGCTCTCTCACCTAATCATCCGTTACTATTATACAATATAGGTAATTTTTATTACCTTGTAACTGAAAATGATCAATAAGCTCTAGAATATTTGCAAAAAGCAAGAAACTCCTTACAAAGTTTAAGTTTATCTGAAATTAAGAATCTACTTTTAAGTGAAAAAAATATTTATTACTTAAAAACTTAAATTGATATCCTAAAAGGATTCTTAGAATAAATATTGGAATCTAAACGAATAGTTTAGAATCTACCTACTGTAAACTCAACTTAAATTTAAATAGTGCAAAATTATGAAAAAAAAATTTAAGAAATTAAAAATTAAATCAGCCCTATTCTGTCAATCCCTATCACTCAAACAATAAAGCCTTAAATTTAAAATGTTTAAAACAAATAACTGAATTAAATATTACAAAATGTTAAAAAATTTAAATAAGAATTATTACAATTAAAAAACGATTATGCTAAGGCAATAAAAGAAAAAGATGAATAAGAAATATAATTGAACTCTATAAAAGAAGATCTAAATGTGTTGATTCATTAAGATAGAAATTAAATATAAGTATTATTACATGAATTTAATAAACCGGAAAATGTTCATAAAAAAACTTACTACCAATCTTTATTTTGGAGGCTTTATAATTTTTTAAAAGTAATGTAATAAATCTCTACAGATTTACTTTAAATAAACCGAAATGCAGTTATTGAATATAACTCAGAAAATGTATTAAATATAGTTCAAAACATTCCGAACATTGGATCAATTCCTTATATTGAAAATGCCTTTTAAATTATAAATGCTGCCCTAGATCAAGCAATTGATTAAAGGAATGTGAATAAATTTAATACAAGAGTAAGAATTCTAAATTAAATACTACAATTTTTTGCAGTTGATCCAGAAAAATTAGAAATTGAAGTGTAAATGACAGCAATTTCTTTGGGAAATTAGCAAAAGCCTAATATAGAATAAAGAAAATAAACAACTTTTAGTTAAACAGTTGACGAGCTGTTAATAAAAGAAAGTAGTTCTTCAGGATTAAAAGATATATACTGGATGTGTGGAATAGAAGATACTTTTATTATTTTAAGCTATTTAGAAAAAAACTAAGGAAAAATATTAGAGGAATAAAAGAAAAAGCTAAGGGATATATTTGAAAATGCTGTCAAATCATATTATTATTCATATTAAAATAAAGCTGAAAATGTGGATTCAGGTTGTTCATCCACATGTTAATTGATTTGATCTCATATATTGAATATTAAAAAAGTAATTTATTAGAATCATCAATTTTAATGATATATTTTATTTCAATAATTTGCAAATTTTTCGTATATAGTATATTTATATAAATACTCATTTCTAATATTTATTTTCCATTATGAAGCTAATTATAAAAAGAATACAAGATTTAAAAAGACATCCGCTTACTTGATGTCAATTAATTTCAATCCAACAACTTTATCTGAATCACAAAAGTTTTTTCAGTATTTAATAACCTAAATCCAATATATTCAATATAGTTAAAATTTTGTGAATCCAAATAAAGAAATATGTTGGAGATAAACTTGTAATGGATAAGAATAATTCGATGATGGAAATCAAGTTGATATAAATGGATGCAAAAAATGTAAATATTTCTGTAGAATTGGATGTTCTGCTTGCTATTGTAATACAAAAACTTGTTTAAGTTGTTATTACCTGGATTATTCCAGGGTTGTATTATTGCAGAAATATTTGTGGAAATGGATTAGTTGTAACAGATCCAGATGGATTCTATACTAAATAATATGATGATGGAAATATATTTCATTTTTAATGATTTATGTGAATTCCAATATGAGGAGATCAAATAATATCACCGAATGAACAATTTGAGGATACATTAACATTGCCCTTTAAGGGTTGTTAGAATTGCAAAGCAAAATGTTAATCCTTTTGCATTATTTGCGATAATAGTGGACTAGGTTGCTAAGCTTGTAAGAATGGTTACAAAAAAAATTGATAATTTATTTTATTCAATTAGTGGAGACAATATATTAACAGAAGGTAAAAAATGTGATGATGGGAATTTAATATTTTGTGATGATGGGAATTTAATATTTTATGATGGTTGTCATTAATTATCTTTTAGTCGTCCTGTTGCTTGTTCAAATTGCTGCCTGGATTTTTGTTATGATTTCATGAAGGTTTTTATTTGCTTAAGTATTCCTGCTTTAAATTTTATTATTTCTATCCCGATCCGAAATGAAATTCTTAATGCTAGAGCTGTAGTATAAGAGGAAATGTTAGTGGATTTTTAAATATTAATGGTACTTGCACTCCTTTATGCAGAGATAAAATAGTTGTTGAAGACGAATAATGTGATGACAGTAATGTCATGTTTGAGAGTGGATTTCATACATGTTTATAATCTTTCTCTTGTTAGTTTTGTTTTTATCAGAATTAATGTTTTGATTTAAAGTAAAAGATTAATTTAAAGGAAGCTAATAATTTTTATTTTTCAGATCTAATCAAGCCTTCAAAGTTAAATCGTAGAAATTGACTAGTTTATAAAATAAGTTTTAATCAAGTTGGTCAATATATAGAAATTATAGATAAATATTTTCCAAACGCTCTTAGAATAAGAAAGTTAAGGCAATTTAGTACATCTAATTATGAGAAATTATTAATATGCTTCAGATTGGAAAACCCTCTTATATTAAATTATATATTTTACTAAATTTCAGGGGTATTTGAAAAAGAATTCACCCTTCCGCATGACATATTTTAACAAATATTAATAGTATAAATTTTTATTTTGATAATAAATTAATAACTGCTAATCTTTTGTAAATTTGAATTAAACATCAGCCCTTTTATTAAAGCAACAAATATTAAGGCTTTTTAAATGCATAATTAGTAAAATAACTTTGTATATTTTCAATAATGAATACAATTTAAGATCGTCTTAAATAATCATTTTAAGGTTCTAATTGATAAATTGTCGCAGATTAAGAAAAAAATCTTTAGTGTTGAATTAACTAAAAATTGACCAACAATAAACCCTTTTAAATTAATTTATTGCTATCATATTTTAAAATAGATAGATAAAGGTTCTTCTAATGTATTTAATTTATTTATGAAATAGTATTTTATGTATTAATCAAACTATTACTGAACGTTTTATTTATGCAAAGAATATAAAAGGAATAAAAAATTAAAAATTTTTGTGCCATCTAATTCAGTGAAAACTTTAGTTGTCATATTTTTATTAATGAAAATCAAATTTGGGCATTGATTTCAAGCATTAAATTCATAGCAGTCAATTTTGATATCAATGAAGCATAAATCTGATTAAATTAAGAAACATATCCTTTCAAATTTAATATGAAGTAACTAATTTAAAAATAAATCAATTAGGAAAATCTACTCCTTATGTGTTACTCAAAGCAAAAAGGAGTTTTTTTATTTAAGATTCATACGTTCATAAATCCTGTCAATATTGTTACTTCTAAGATTATCCTTCTTAAGCTACTTGGAATAATGTTTATTAAATGGATGCTTTTTTATCAAAATATTCAACATAAAGGAAAATAAATATGATTGCAAGGAAGATAAATCTTAATTTTGTGTTGTATGCTTAATCAATCCTTAAACACGTTTAAACTGTAGAAATGATTGTAAAAAATTAGGTGAAGTCACCAATCTACTAGATATAATTTTATAAATGCTGAAAAAATTTTAGAATAAATTGATAAGAATTTTGAAGGGCCTAAGTTCCTAAAAAAAGCAATCAAGAAAATTAAAAAAGAATTGCTTAAGTTCGAAGTTATGATTTTAAATTTAATAGAACTAAGATTCAAAGACTTTTTTAATAATATTCCTAGTATAATATAATGCAACGTGATCCTATAAACTCTTAATTTGAAAAAGAAATTATTAATCTCTAAATT